CATAGATGTTTGGCACATCGATCATCAGAGTTGAAAGTATCCTACATGCAAGCACATGTCTAGTGCAGCCCTTCTCGCTGGCTTAACGTGGGGCTCTTTTTGAAGAGAGTGCGGGCATCTTTAAAAATTAATTTCACTGTCTTTAGGAATCTGGATGGAACCGATTGGGTGCATTCAACGGTAAGTATTCTCCAAAAAAGCAATGTGAGTTTGGTTTGGCGGATCGTGTAGTCCAGCGCGACTTTGATGGCATTGTGACCAATAAGAATTTGTCGCAGATGAACCAGGAATTTTTCCGAATTAAAGTATAAATTGGAGGGAGGAATATGAATTGTTATAACATAGGGGACTAATTAACAGACATGTAGTAGTTATAATGGCGCAAGAGACGTTTGAGAAACTGATTTTCGAATGTAATTGGCCCGAAACATTCATGACTCATGAAAAAGACTGTTAAGTATCCAAGCCTAATGGATTTCAATTATGCTCAGATTAGGTTCTCCTTCTTAAATTCAAGACATTTAACCTTTGCCACACTGGCCGGAAAGTAGAACATTGAAGGAGGTACAGCCCCTTCACAGTTGAACAGTCTCGCGCTCCAGTATAGCGGCGCTAACTACCCGCGATCGCGTCGCGCGCTGTGCCTAGAGCGCGCTAGTTGGAAAAATCGTCAAATGTATCCCCTATTCAAAGGACTAGAACTTTCTTCATTGATAACCGTTTCAGAAAGTGAAGGCAGCTTTTGAATGCACGAGACTTCTAGTTTCGAAGTTGTGCTGAGCGTTTTTCTAAGCACGCCTACGAGAGTGGAAAACGTCGAGAAATTGTCGAGGAAATTGAAATTCACATGCGAGTTCCCACTCTTTGAAAGGCAGTAGTTGTCTTCATTGGCAATGTTTTGAAAATCGGAGGAGAGCTTTGTAAAGTAGAAGATTTCCGCTTTCTAAGAGGTGCTCCAGTTGTTTCGATCGCTTTCTAGTTAGCGAGAAATCTGCGTCGAGGAAATGTCAAGGAAATTTTCGAAGTCACTCGAAAACTATCACTCCCTTGCCGTAGTAGGGAACTTTTTTGAACACCTTCAAGATACTTCTGTACGCGTAAGTTCGATGGAGTAAATTGAAAATGATGCACTTGGCGCGGATCCATTCCGTTCTTGTATGCGCCATGCAGTGACCCCACTCGGAGTCATTGGGAAGGTGTTTTTTTCCTAGTGACGACTTGCCTAATCACACCAGAAGGTATTTCCAGTATTAACTAATTAGAATAACTTCTGTGGTCATAGTGATGTCTGATCACTCCTTTATTCAAATCGCTTCCTTTCCAACCCGTTCTGATGAATGACAGCTTGCGGTGGCAGGATCTGTAATGCCAAGAAGGCTGCGAATCTTCCTGCTTTGAACTTTCTACCAAGATGCTGTTCCTCCACTAAGTTGTCGAAGATGTACATAATTCTAGAATAGATACTCGCTGCCCTTTCCCTACGATTCTTTTGTAGGACGCGTTGCCTTCCTATTGCCATACTGATCACTACGAACCAAAACAACAACCACTTGTAAGATGTGTTTGGCTAAGTACAACACTTGTGAAACTAATGATGACAGCGAATAAGTGGCAGCAGCACCGTTGTGTCCGTTGATGAATCGTTTAATTACGACCCCCTCTCAACTCTCATCGGAGCAAATACGACCCCCTGTCGAGGAGTTTCTCGACCGTTATTCACCGTGCCTGGAAGTACGGTAGGGTCTTCAAGAATGTGTTAGTAAGGGCAGGTAAATTCCAACATATACTAGATCAAACGTAGATTTTTTTCATTTCAAACGTCAGTATTAGCATCAGAAAAAAGATACCTTGAACAAGTGAGTAATGCGGGTCCGATAGGTAATTTTGTTGTGGGATAAAGGATAATACAGTCATTGCAAAGGCAGTGACACTTCTATCATGAATGAGCTTGAAAGTAATTTCGGGGAAGTGCCAGTTCATTCCGTAGAAGTGAACTGTTTGGATTAACCACCTCGTAACATTGTTGGGCAAGTACAACTGCATAATATTTTTGTTTGTGGACGCCACTGTCCACGTCAAACTGCTAAATCTACTTGTTTGCTTGGTTAATCTTCGTGGGTATTAACTAGGGATAGCAAAAGTTTCTGTGGTTGAAATAATTGCAATTTATTACTTATATAGTAATCACTTGTTTTCAAACCTCCCAATCAGTCTTTATCTGTGAAACCACCATGCATGTCTAAGGCATATCCTACGTCCAACACACAGACGTGCAAACGTTCTGCTGTTCGTATAAAATTTGTAATGAGAATGGTGACACTTTCCTTCCGACGACTCCTCTTATCAGCTGTTATTCATAGGTTTTCGCCGGCTACTGTTGGTGTTGTCAACCTCTAACCGAATCTCTTGTCAGTGTGAACGATCTGCGAACAAATCAAGGAAGTTATTGAGATCAATGCACGTTCACCTACACTTTGGTCAAGCGTATTATGCGGTATCAGGTTACATAGGGTCCTGTCAATATCATATGACTGCAGTTACTAATAGCTATGGAGCATTACAGCTTCCTGTGCTCAGGTGTCTGATAAGGTTTGGCGACGACTCATTCGGCAGCATCTCTGCCAGCGTCAACTGTGAAGTTGCAACAAAATTTTTTGGTAAACATAAGCTTCATTATGGTTCGGGATAATTTCTGATTCAGGATCTGTACTTTGTAGTAAACGTTAAGGTTGAATTATGTCCAAGATAAATTTAACTACGTCATAAGTTTGCCATAGCCGACGTGTAAACTAAGGTCCCATAAATCTCTCTACTAATGTTACTGCGTTGGATTTTACACTTTTCCTAAGCCCGTGGGAACCGTAGGCAACTTCACGTTGAGTTTGAATTAACGAAAGCTCAATGGCTAATACAAAGAATCGAGACCGATATTGTAGTTTCAAAAGCTGCGTAGACAATTTTAAAACACCTTTCGGACCTGACCCATTTTTCCGCCGTGGAGAAATCTTTCGTCTTAGGCTATTGTTTATTATCTTGTGGCATATAGTATCATGTTATCGGCACATTTTGGAATGCTATTCGATGACACAAAGAAACCTGACGAGGTTTGGGAACATTGTGCCACCTTCTTAGTTTTTAAGCTTATCGTCCGAAACAATTCGAAGCTTTCATAAGTTATCGCCGAAAAAGTTATAGCGTCTTGCACAATATTACAAACCATCCACTTTTGATTTAGGAATGGATCCACTTCAACGTATTTTAAGAACAAAGTCCACTACTTATTGGCGCCGGTTGCGGGGTCAGCGCCCATGTCACTGTTGCTTGTATCACAAATGACCTTGCAATAACTATCTCAAATAAACAAGAAATTGGTCGGTTAAGCGAAGCTCAATAATAGGAAGGGGAAGGTTGATTGAAGCAAACTCAGGCAGGATAGAGAAAAACTCATGCTGTTCAGCGGAAATGGAAGCGTTTTGAATTTGCGTGGTGGCAATTGGCCACCGCCAGGGCCGAAAGGTTAATGTACGAACCGCCGGTGGTAGAACCTGTGCAGAGTTGCTCCCGTCGCCGCGTTAACCGTCCAAGGCAAGGCTGACTGGCGCTGGAAGTGTAACACTCTTCTTTGCACCTGTCATACATCCCCTCTCCCCTAACTCTTGCGTGGTCGTACTTATGCATGAGGCACGCCTATCGTCACGGCAATGTTTTTAGAAGACGAGGTTTTGCCCTGTCAATAATACTGCGGCCAATCGGGTGATTAGGAATCACGATGTTTCGAGGTGGCGAAGCACGAATCCGTGCGCGGCATCTCGATTAGAGCGCTCTGGATTGCCTGCTGTCCGGCAGCCTTGCGCAAATCCAATATTGTTCTCGTTAGGATGCGTTGAGAGCGCTTGCGCCCTTATTTCTAATTGGTATCATTGAGGCATTCCTTTTTCGATCTGCATCGTGCTGTTTCTAAAATGGACTTCCAAATTAAGGCGTGGTTATCACATCTAAAACAACATGCTGATACGAGATATTTCGTGTTTTCTCAGCTCCAGATTATCAAATTTATTTTCGCAGTTAACCGCTGAGTTATCGCGTCTTATCAAAAAGTTTTCTGCGATATAGTTATTGATTGTAAGTGGAGCACATTTTAAAGTTAGAGTTCACGCCGATGGGGCGTGAATACTACTCAATATCCTATTAAAGAAGTCCCACTAGGTGTGTTTGCTTCTTCTTCTCTTTATCTTTTTGAAAACAGTTGAAAAAAGATGTCACCTGGAAAGCAGCAGCATAGCTCAATTGGTTTGATAATTTGGAGAATTCTCCTTAGTTATAAAGCTTAATTGATTAGATTTTCTCTCTTGCCTTCTGTATGCTTCTTTCCTCTAGTTTTACAGTCCCATGAAGTATATTCCTTTCTGCTGTCACAGTTTAGCTTCGTGCTTGTTGAAAAACTTTAGGCGCTATCGCAATATACGGGGGCATTGTGGTGGCAGTGCATTCGCGCAAAACGTTTTCTTTTTCTTAAAAACGGTGTTGTGCCTTAGGTAAGGGAGAGACTCCAGGGTGCGTGAGCGATTTTCGTTCTCCCCGAAGTTCCTGCCCCTCCTAGGCTCAGTCGTAGAGGATGCCCTGTATACTGCGATAGCGGCGAAATTCATTTTACTCTCATTCTTGGTTTTAGTTTGTTTCCAGTAGTTTAAATTTGGAGACTCAAGTGATTGGTTTTGGTATTTCCAGTGCACTGCTTTTCGAATTTTTTCTTCCAGCAGCTGTACAGTTCTTTCGAACTTTCGCAAATTCTATACCGTGTGGTTCGCGACAGCTGTGGCTGTATTTCGGGGGTTTCTTTCATGAATATGTAATGAAACTTGAGATGGGTTGTGCTTAATTCGTGCCTTGAGTTGTAATACCGTTTGCAACTATTCTAAAACAGATGTCGGTGACGCAGAGGAGGAACGCCTTTTTAAAGCCCGATTTGATAACTGTTCAGGATTTGCATTTTTTATAAGATGTTTTGGGGGTCTCCTGTGTGGAATTTCAGGTACACTCAGTTGATTTCCAACTGACCAAGTGTTCTTTTAGCTAACCATAAGCTTCTATGTTTGGTATTTCGATGAACTCTTCTTATAAGCTTACTTTGCCTTTTAGCGTCTTTCGCTTCTATAAACGAAGTCATGTTAAGCATAGTTCCTTGAGTTTCTCGTAATATCTCTCCTCGATTCTGTCCAGATTTCAGCTAGGCCGAGATGCAAATGGCGTTAAATTCCTTTCTCACAATTTTTTTTATCCAGGCATGTCCACCGTGCCCGAGCAGGATGAGTCGACACAGAAGATCATACTGCCGGAACCGTACAGCCACAGCAGCTCGAGCACCCCTGCGATTTCAAGGCAACGGTCACTCGATCCTTCGACTGCGAAGCGCACGGCGGAATCTTCTCTCACCGAGCCCAGCGCCACCACTACCAGCAACGGCACATGCTTCGGTTTGCTTGATAATGAGGAGGAGGAACGGTTGCTCGGCGACTCTGCGAAGCCTTTGCCATTCATCGGTGACCCATCTCGAGCAAAAGCTGGTCGAAGTCCAATGTGAGTTAATTTGGTTCGGTTTACTTCCAGACTTTAACAAGTTTATTCATTTTAACTGGCCACTATTTCAAGCATTTTTTATACCACATATAATTGAGCCAATCGGCGGGCTATATATCCGCGCATCTGCGGCCGTCGTCGGACCGTAGCGGACTATAGCTAATCCCGAACCTAATGAACAATCATTTTTTTCGCGGCCTAGCGCTGATTCTTTGGAATTTGCTTGTATTAATTCCATGGAAGCAGACTTGACGTAGCTACAAACACGAAGGACGCCTTAGAGTGGGTTCGTATCTTGAATTTAGGGAGGATTTCCGGGCCATAGCGAGTCTCTCCGCTTAAAGCAACAGTCCAGGCCACGCGGTTTCAACTACTTGGTCCATTCTAGGGCGGTCAAAACATGCCCCCCGCCAACTAATTTCATAAGGAAATCGTCTATTTACTTTCAACCAACCTCTAAAATGCGCCTGGAAAGGGGTCAGAAGTCGCTCGTTGAGGGGGCGGAGTCACCGCATAAAGAGGCGGGATCGGTTTTCTTCCAACATACGCTGCTGGCAGAGTCCGCGCTGACTGCGATCGTTGCGCGGACCCGCTCGCGCTGTATGAGGTCGGGATTCTAATAAGACGCAATTGAAGCGCTTCAATTTCGATTGCGGGCACAGAGTCTATGTATTTGCAAGCATGCAGCTATTCTGCAGGAGTTTGCATTAACGGCATGTACATACGGGCAGGTTCGCGACACGTGTCCTACACACGTCTCCCTAAAACGGCAGCGCATAGTTCCCTGTATTTTAAGCCCCAGTTGGGGCGTTTTCTTCATTTATTCTCTTATACGCTTCGCCATATTCAAAGGTTCCTCTGCTACCTACAATTCCATATACGGTGACTTTGCCGGCACAGATTCGTTCCCTGGACTGTTTGCTTTTAATAAAGTCCTTCTATACTTTTCTTTTAAATGAATGTCAATCGATTTAATTTGGTAAACATCAAAGTAATATACAGGACCTCTAGGGATTGACAAACTATGGGTGCTCTTTGGAATTGAAATATCAACTGAAAATTGCTTTTTGAGGTCCATTGAGCTAGTTCACTTAGGCAAACTTTTCCTTTTCAATTGTTCATTCCCACGATCTTTCGATCGAAACCTACATGGACCTCGATTAGGTGGCTCATTACAATTAGTGATTTGATACTTTCGTATTGACCCTATTTATTAGTTGATCACTTTAAAATCTGCTTGAACGAACTGAGGCGGTTTTGCGCCGCGCAAGTAGCGCCAGACGGTCACACGTGGCCAAAAATGCCAAAAACTCGCATTGAGTCGTCACATGTGTTTAACGCGATATTTTTTCTAATTTCGTCTTCGCAGAGAGCGGTTAAGTCTGAGCTGATGTTTGGGCTATTTCCTCCTTCATAAGTGTGACATTAGAGAACATCCACTCTGTACGCACCATTTTTTTCACAATAAGGTTGTTACCCTCTTGATCTCTACCTCATGCGTCTTTTTCGTAAATATGGTGCTAGGCTGGTAGCCTGCGCGCATTTGAGTATCTAGGCCTCCTGAGAGTAGCTGAAAACGTTTATCGCCGAAGAATGCAAGGCGAATCCTGTGTTTCATCCTTTCCGCACTCTTCTAACGGTAGAGAACATAGGGATTTTGTAATTCTCCATTGTTGTTCTCCGGAAACCGCCTGGCTTCCCTTTCCACATAACGCACCACTCACAACACTTTCTTTTCTGCGCGAGATTCAACACGCTGAGTGGGCCGTATGCCTGATTGTTGGCCGGACGCAACCAGTTTGGTCGACGACAGCCAACGCACTGCAAGTGTCGCACAGTATTGTGTGCGTATGCGATATCTGCCGACACTTTGCAGTCGCTTGCTGTTTCGTCCAACTGCTGCTGGTCGGACGAGGCAAACGACGCAAGCTGTCGGCCAGATTCAATGGCAGCGCAACTATTTCACACTACAGGGGACTTTTCGAAATACGATCGCGCGCCAGTGTCACGTGATTGTCTGGTTTGCCATTGGGTGACCGCGTCTCTTTGGAGTCTGCGACACCTGCGTCGTTCGTTAGTCCGTCGCGACAGCAGCAGTCGTTGCTGTCGTCCGACGGACTGTGCGTCCGGCCCTTGGGTAGTAGGGCTGGGGTCCCCGACGCCGCGATGGCTCGAATGTTGGGGCTCTCAGCAAGTTTCCGTCGCGGGATCCGGGCGGGCCAGTGACCGGTCCCTTTTGATTTTATGTTTACGATTTTCACGGCTTTTTTACTGTTTTACATGTAGATTCTGTCCACAAATAAGTAGCTATATTGTTGTAATTGCTTTTAGATTATCCTTTAAATTCTTTGTATAGCCGAACCGGTCGTGTACGTCGTATGTATTGGCCGAAGATCTTGGCAGTCTCTTCATTCACTACTTTAGACCGAAAATTGGTTCGCAGCTTCTAATTAACCGTGTCGGCGTAATTGGTGTATTTACTTCGATTCTGGCCAATGGGTGCTGTGATGAAATCTGTATCTAGAACAGTGAACAGCACAACAACCTTCATCACAGAATTAAAGGACTGGACCAGTCACCTGTAGGTCCCGCGATTGAAACTCTGCTGGCGAGCCCAACATTCAGCATCGACGGGTGCGGGACCCCAGCCCCTACCCAACATTCAGTATACGGCCCCGTAAGTTACGGCGCATCTTTCTTAGGCCAATGTCTAAAAGGGTGGCTGAAACTGCGGGAAGTTGACGCTCTGATTTACCGCCAGACCAAATTGCTTTCATAGTTGTGTCAGTGTGATGTTCTCTCTACCACCCCTCTCCTTATCCTCCATAGATGTTTTTTGGTCGGAACACAGACATGTGCTGACGACATACACATCCTAAATGCAACTAACACAAGCAACACACTGCACGAGACCCAAAGTTAGTGGTTATAATAATAGAGGGAATTTGCCTGCTTCTTTCTGATTCAATGCATCTGAGTTTCTTTCTTAGTTTCGTTCGAGAATATTTGCACTTTTCATCAAAGATCACCTGCTGAGACTCTCAGTAGTAGTGCCCACCTTATCAACAAACATGCTGATATGGAACTAGCGGCTGCCCCCACCTTGCTTTCCACTATTAATTCAGCGTCTGTCAACAGCATAAATTTTTCAAGATAAGATCGCACGCTCACTCTGCACCACGTTTATTTGTAGTAAAGACTTTTCTCGCAAAAATAGGCTTGGGTCATGTTAATCTCTCTCGGTCGGCTGTTGCTTCTTTTACTTTACCATTCATAAGGACGGCCCGATGTCTTCACTGGTGTATTCTTTCGCCCATCAGATTTTGGTGGAAACCTACTATTGGGTTGTCTCATAATTCCTGTCTCATTTCTATTCAATTTAAAAATTTTCCGTCTAAGACCGTTTTATTGCGAAATATGATAACATGTTGAAGTACGCTTCAAAAGCCTTAACAGCGTGGTTTCGAAAGCGCGAGACCATAACGGGTAATCAAGTAGGAAAAATAGGTCAGTGACTATAATGATGATTATGCTCCACGATTCTCAAATGAACTCGTTTCCAGGGAGGACGACAGAGAAGATCATCGTTGTGTTTGACCCATTCTCTGCTACCTCTGCTACTGATAAGGTACTGAGCTAGTGGACCAATCGCAACGGCAAAGCCGAAACGAGCTAAGTTCAACTTCATGGTGGGTCTGGGGTCATGAATTGGTAGTACCTCCGGACATTTCCACCAGGGTATTATAGCAGATACCTCGGCGCAGCCGATGCACCGCTCACGCTTCAGGATGGGAAGGACTGCTGCAGAAAGTCTTGATGGAAACCTTGTGGTCCGGCCGACCTTGAGTGAGAAGCACGCCAGACCATCTGGGGAAAATTCATTCTGAGACGGCGAAAGGAGCCCTCCCTAAGCAGTCACCAGTGGAGATGAGTCATGAGTCACTCTCGGTTTGTTGCATTCGCTGGGTGGCCTGGTTTGGGAACTGCTTCAATGTCTAAAGACAAGCATCGCGTGAAGTGACCCTTTCAGCCGGCTTCGTTATTGCGAGGGAATGGTCAGAAAGTCTCAGATTCTCCTTTCTCCGGGGAGATAGCCAGGGCCACGATACCTCATCTACTATATAGCATTGGTATCGCTCTATCGGACTATCGCCTCCTCTGTGCCCTGAATCAGCATCTGCCAGAGAAGAAGTTAAATAGCGACCACCCCAAAAACGAGCTCTCCAATTATTCAACTTCCGGCTTCACTCGTTCTGGGCGGAAACCTTCCAAACATTCTCTAGCAAATGCACGCATATGAAGTATGTGTGCATGCAATGACCATAATGGTGGTTATGCTTTTGATCAGTTGTTTCCCAGAAGAGATAAAACTTGAATGAACGAAAGTCGGAATTGAGACAGGAGTTATAAGACAACCCAATAGATGTAGTTCATGCCTTTCTAAGTGATATACAATCTAGGAATCAATGCCAAATGCAAAACGCTTTTCTTGTTCTCGTAGTATTTCGCATGATCTAGTCCACGTTTTGCTTTCATTTGGTGATCTCTTCATGTGAGTTTGGTTATTAGCATAAGCTTTTTCTTTGAGTAGAAAGCTGGCTTTCATTCATTGCTTCCCTATAATCCTAAATTCTCCCTTATGAGCGGTCATGGGCGCACAGTCAAATCAAAAAAAAAAATAGAACGGCATTGTAGTTCTAAGTGGATGTCAAATGGTACATATAGTACTACACAGAGATAGATTTTCACTTTCATAAATGTCATCCTCCAGGTGTTCTTTTTAAAAAATGTGTTTAAAAATTGTGTGAAAAGTTACCTAAAAATTCCAGAAATTAATAAATAGGTATGTATTATTTACATTCTCTTTATTCATTGATTTATGAATTTTATTTTGTTTGTGAACTTTCATCATGCTCTCTGTTAATTAAAATGGAGCGTTTTAGTGTAGCACGACATGCATCTACAGCACCAAGTTTACGGTCGATTTCGTTGCCGAAAGGTTCATCTCCTCAAAGCTCTTCCGAATTGCCGCATTCAGCATCCGTGGCCACAGTACATCCACCTCACTCAGGGTCATCACCAGCAAGGATTCCACTGACACAAAGCGAAGTCGGTTTGGTTCCATAGTTTTCAATTCTCAAAGCGAGGCCATTGTAGTAAAGTGTCCGAAGCTTGGGCTGCTTTGTTATAAGGAACAGTTTCCCAAAGCATCAATTGACGTGATGTGCTTCAGTTGCGGAAGCCAAAGAAAGTGGTTTCGCAGTACTACAAAAGGCAAAATGAGCTCCTGGAGAATTTCAAGAATGACAGTGAACAAATTCAGGTTGGTGGTTGTTTTCGTTTCGCATTTATAGTTACAATGCTCAGGCAACACTGAGCGATTATCTGCTACGTTCATTGACATGCGTTGATCCATTCAATCGACAGTAATCTAAGATAGATCTTTCAGGTATTTCAAAAGGTGCGAACGCGGCAACGTTTGATCTCGTCTACAAGCACAGAAGGCGACATAACACAAAAGGACGATAGCGATGTTTTAAATCGAAGCCTGTCCCGTAAAGATTCAAAGATCAGCAACAACAATCTCTCGTCTTCCTGGGATACGACTGCGCCTTTGCTCAAAAACACGGTCGAGTTTATGCAATTCTGATATGGATTTGCACTTTTAATTCTGCGCTATACAGGATGGTGAGCAGGACCTTGAAATTGGTAACGCTCCAAGTAATCGACCTCTAGTAGATCCAGCAGATGATCGGAAGGCATCTATTGCGTCTGATATCTCAATATTGTGAGCTTTTTCCTCTCGCAACACTCTTAATTTGTTAAAACATTTCAAGGTCTGATTTACTTTTTTATTTCACGGGTTTGAATTTTGCGATTGCATCCAGCACGTATTGTGTACTACATTTAATACGAAATATTGGACAATGACACTGTATATTCTAGAGCGAAACACGAAGCAGCTATGGACGCTGCACGTGCAACATCTAAAGCTGCATCGCGACTGGCTCACGCAACATTGATTGTGAATATAACCTTGATGCTTGCAAAGGTTAGCTTCTCAGTTTATTTTTGGAAGCAGCTTCATTTTACTCTAAGCATCATTTACCTTGTATGGTTACCGTGAGAAAAATTCCTATACAATCTGTATAGGGTACGCCATAAATACGATAACAGTAGCTGTGGCAGGGAATGTATCATTTGAAGTGAAACGTGATGAAATTCTGCAGATAGGTTCAGACTTTATTGTGCGAGTTTTTGAGGAGTTTCGTTGTGGTGCGTTTTCGAAGGGCAAGCTTCGCTCTTACCAAAAGCCTTCCAGAACATGGAGCGCTTTTTGAGAATGGTTTTTTGGATAATAAAGGGGTACATGCATGGAGTACAAAACTAGGCTCCATTCTGTCTGAGCGGCCCTCCTAATGTCAAAAAAGGACTGGAAAGTTTCTTTGGAAATCGCAGTTTTCAGGCCTACGTGGTTTATATCACCCGTAGCGTTGAGTGTGCGCATAATGGAAGCTTTCCTTCGCGTGAAAATAGAAAACAACGTCAAGTAAAGCCAAAAACAAAAGGCATTGGCTTACCTATGGCCCGATTTTTGAAATCGGGCAAAATCTTGATTTTCTCTAGAACTGCAGCTATGAAGGTAATTATAGACGCTGATTACGAATCTGACGTCCTTTTTTGATGGAGGCGCGATATTGCGCCATTTTAGCCTCATCAGGCACCATTTTGGCGCCGCTTGAGCGCCATACAATTTTTGCCGCAATTTTGGGCAGAAAGCTAATCAGAAAGGTTAATCATGATCCTGATTGTAAGCACAGTACCTATTTTTATTAGCGGCAACATTTGGCGTCTCTTAGTAGGCGTTAACGTGAAATACAATTTTTTTCATCAGCAGGGACCGATCCCTCGACCTATTTTTCATCCCTTTTTTGGCATTAGGAGGGCCGCTCAGAAAAAAATGGAGCCCAGTTTTGTACTCTATGCACGTATCCCTTTATCATACAAAAAAACATTTTCAAAAAGCGTTCTATGTCTTGAAGGCTTTCCTGGTTTGATACATTCACTGGCTTGGGTCACGAGGAATTTGTCTTCCAGTGAGACATAGGGAAACTTCGGGAATGTGACGCAGGCCTTTTTTCATTTGCAAACAACGATTCATTCAAGGAGTCCCTAGCGTAGACGTCGCTGATCCAGAAGTTTGTTTTGACTATTTGAGCACTTTTCTTCGGGTAACACGCCGACAAGCAACGACATAAACTTCCTATCATCCTCCCATCATGAATCCTTGTAGCACGCATATTTGTTTTCATATCACTAATTTCTTGTCTACCATAAACAGTTCCTCAGTGCAAGAGCTAGATGTGTCGTGTGCCGGCGCTGAGGCGTACACAGAAGCTGTAACTCGTGCCGCAAGCAGCCCTGTCTGATCATCGTGCAGAATTTCTGTTGCTAGGATACCTTGTAAACATATGCAGTGTTTCATCATATTTCACTTTGAACCACGATTTTTGTGTCATAAGCAGGTTGCTACTCTATTACGGCACACCCTGTATAACTACTCCCAAACGCTCTTGCGGGATTATGGAATGAAGGAAGGGGATTGATGTTCCATAAAGCAAAAGATTGGGTCGAGGTTTTACACCACTGCCAGATAATGTTTAGTTCATTCTGTTTTCATTCCAGTGTTTGGCTGTTGGTACATTATCATTTTCCAGTAACTAGACAGACGTTAACCACTCACATCCCAAAAAACTGCCGTTATCACAAGCGACCACTGCGCAATGAAAAACAGAATGAACTGTTATTTGGCAGTAGTTGGTGTGAAACCTCGACCCAGGGGCTCGATATAACGAAATCGAAAATAATGTAAATTTGCTCTATACTCGTGAAATGGTCGTTTACTCAGGGCCTTGCGTCGTACTTGTCCGGATCGTTGTCCATTTTGTCGTCGTTAGTTGACTCCTGCGTTGACATCACATCAGGCCTTGTGATTTCGATTTCAACACGGATGATCAAGAAAAGGGATCCATACCTCTATCCAAGAGGACGCACGAGACTTGAACCACTGTCACTGGTGAGTGCATCTATTCCCCTAGTAAACAAATGCTTAATTGAAAGAAAGAAAGCAGTTGAATAATGTGATATCTTTATGTACACAGGCTTATTTAATTCAGATTATGAAGAGACTGGTACCTTTTGTACCTTTTCATTCTCTCGTTGCTGGAATTACTTAGCTGGATTTAATTCAAGAGAGTTGCGCCCATATATTCTAAATGAACTAGATTTCGAAAGTGCGATGCAAGGTAGGGAACGTATGGCCCTACCGTATCCAGTTTTAACCGCTTGATAATTACTGCAAAGCTACCCGAGGTTGTGCGTTTCGAGCTCAAGGCAAGCTGGCAGTTTCATATAAGACTTTTGAATATCGGCTAACCGGCTCATCACGCTCTATGATAAGCTAAGGTAAATATGCATTTGAAAGGTGGGTTAAGGGAAGGTCAGGAGGAATTCTATGGGGACTACAAAGAAAGTTTCAGTGGATCGGGTAGGAGTCCTGCTCACTGAGACGGTAGGTGACCTTTTGTGGGCAGTTGTGCCTTGTCAACGGCGTGGTAAGGCGCCAATACCCACTTCCGGTAGGCCATCCGGATACTTACAAGGGAGGTCGTTCAGGGTGTGGAACGCTTTTTCAAAACGGTTTTTTGCATGCTGTAGGGGCTCTCACGGGGACCGCAATACTGTGTTTCATTTTCGCTGAGCGGCCTTCTGAAGGCCAAAAAATGGTAGGGAAGTGGTCCAAGGTTCATTCCCTCTTGATGACAGAATTTTTGCACTCTAGTTGGAGCTTCGAAATTTGCTAAAAATAACGCCAGAACCAGTACTAGTTATCGTACTCATCATCAAAACCATGAGCAAGAACTGCAGTCAAACTTTTTCCAAATCTGGCGGAAAAAAGTTGTAGCGGCAGAAAGGCGCCAAACGGCGCCAAACTAGCGTAAATTGAAGCTATCGGATAAAATTAATGTCATATTCGTGATCAGGGCACTCGATATTCCCTAAATCAGAAGTTCTTGAGGAAATTGAAAATTTGACCTGGATCCGAAAATTGGCCAGTGATAGGTCAGTAGCCCATAGTTGCCTCCAGCCGGTGCAATGGGAACGAGTTCGCAGTTATCCTCCTCAAATAACGAGAAGTTCCACTGCTGAATGGACAATGGGAGACACCCAGGTTGGTAATGGGCATCAGGGCACCATGATTTTGAAGTCGGCAGATTCTCCCCTTCATCAAGGCGTGGTATATTGGGTCCACGGCTCTTTCACTCGCAAGGCTGCGTGTCTAAAGATGGAGCGATATCAAGGACAGCGACAAGATGAAAGATGTTCCATATGAGACCAAATTTTAGTTCCCGTGAGCCGACAATGCATTGCGCTTGATTTCGGCGCCGCACTCGTATTCAAGTCGCCACCTGGCGTGCATGACGACCTGTAGACCATGACCACCTTCTTTTTCGAAGTTAGGTCAAAACCTCGATTTTTCCTGAAATTTGGCATGTGAGGGTAGATCAGGGTCCTGAACACGATCATGGCATTCGTTTTTGACGTCGGCGCCATTTGGCACCAGTTTGGCGCTGCGAGCTTTTTCCGCCAATTTTTGGTAGAAAACCCATTTGCGACGGTCCCGACTGAGAATATAGCGATGGTTTTGACGCTGAAGCAATTTGGCGTCAATTTGGAGGTGATTATCGAAAACACAAAAATTAGCCCAGGAGCGGACTCGATCCACGAAGTCATGCCAACCCCAGTCCACCACGCTACCCACTAGGGCACCTGCTCGCTGCGATGTGAAGGGTGCCGACGACGCCTATGAAACCTCTACACTTTCTTCAGCAGTACCACGTACAGTGCTTCAATTTTGAGCGAATTTCGAGTTGTTTTCGATATTATCTTCATCGGCGCCCTTAAATGCAGGTGGTCGTTTGTACAGGTCCGAAACTTCACTCCAAGGCAGCAAAAACCACCCCTTCCTAACGAATTTATTTCGAACATTTTTTGGCCTTCAGGAGGCCGCTCAGCGAAAACGAAACGCAGTGTTGTTGTCTACGTGAGAGTCCCTACAGCATGCGAAAACCCGTCTTGAAAAAGCTTCCCACACCCTGAACGACCTCCCTTGTTAGTTATTAGACGTGGAAGGGTTTCCAGTGGAGCTTCTTGACATGGTAAAATTATCGTTACCGTCCCATTACCTTTTACTTCATATCATATTGTGTCGTATTTTCCATGGGGTTACACACGTCCAACCACTACCTTTCACAGACCTCATTGGTAGATAACGCTTAGTGAGCAGCTCCACCTCATAACCAGCGTGATCGCATCCTTTAAGGTGAAGCGATGGCCGGTAATGTAATCGGAATCGAAAAGTGCTGGTTGGATTCCAGTTTGGAGCAAAGTGTTTTACCCATAATTCAAATCTTGTGAAACTTCGCCACTGCGACATTAAAGGAGGATTGCACGGAAAGAACGAAGGTCGAAGAAGGAAGAAATCGCCTAGTGGGGAGAGCGGTGAATCTCTTGAGGGTCCGGACAGACACGCAATCGGCATCGAAAAATTTGACCTCTGAGATCTAGCATGGCTCGAAGCTGGCGAGTTCGGCGATCTCCGCCCACCGCTAATCTGATCACTCGCCGTAATTCAATAGGTGGCGAGTGATTAGATAGGTGAGAGAGCCTAGTGTTGAAGAGGGCAGAGCGATGAGAGTCTCATCAATGCTCAAATCAACGGGCAAGGAAGGGGTACCATTTCTCGGGTTCTGGGCGTTCTTCGTGGTTTCGCTTTCTTTCTGGTACTACTCACCATCTCTACCTCAACCTGGAATGGGTTGCTTTTCCATCGTAAATTCGTCCTTTAAAACAGCACTTAACGAACAAAGCAAATAATTCAAGAATGTTCTGCAAATATAAATCTGATTGTATGTATTATTTGTAATACGAGCGAACCTGGGGGCGGAGGTGGTGTCGGGGGAAGTGGCACGCTTACCACGCGAGCGGTCCGGGGATCAAATCCGGGGTCGTGAGTCGCTCGGGCCGACCAAGACTTGCATCCCTCCGGGGTCGCTTCATTGGTACCAGACTTGTCTGGGAGTATAAAAACACTGACTTGAACATCGGTTGGTTCCGCAAGTTATTGTGTAGGCCACACCCCATTCAGACGCCACTGCGAATGTACAAATGGAAGTAGAATGCATGCCGCGTCCCCCAAAGGATTGAGTTGCGGCAAATGCGTTATCCTTTATTTATCCTTTATGAGCAAACCTATACATGGTATATATGGATTGTTTAGAGTTTGATTGATTGGAAATTATCGAGTCGAGATGGTTTTACTTCCGCTCAATATTAAACACGTTTTCAGATTATTATAAGTGTTGTGATGGGCGTCGCTAGTGTTCAGCTGATCTTTGGTGCGATTAGTCGCATAGCAGCTGCTTATCAATTCCACGTGCATGGTAGGTATTACAATTTTGACAAAGTAGTAGTGGTTCTGTAAAATAAGTGACCATGGCGCTGGGTTCTACTGCGATAGTAATGCTAGTCGCCGTGCATCTGCACGCTCAGTGTCCGAATGCTGCGCACATCCTTGTTCCCGAGATTGCACTCATAGGCTCGGGTATGCCATGCTTGTGCTTTAAAAAATTCTCCAGCCAGTATAATATTTTTCGTGTGATCAGAGAATTTTTAGGAGCTGAAGGGTAATTTGGCTACCCAACGGATCCCCCAAACTCTTAAACACAGAATAAAGGAACAAAAGGGTCTATGGCGGGTCAAATTCACCTAGCGGAGAGGGTTTTTGACCGGAAAATGTTCTCGGCAGTATGGTATACTCTGAGCTGAGCGCAATAAGTTGGCTGGTTTTAAATTCTCTTTTGTTTGATACTTCATTGTAGGTGTTGGTGAGAAGCCTACGCTGGATGTGTCGTTTGTCTCCGCATCGATTATGGTTAGCACGGTGATTGTGAAATTTTCACTCTTTTGCATATGTCAGAAGTGAGTATTTTCTTTTGTCACATCGAGTTTACCTTACCTAATACAGGGTGTCCCATAAATATTGCACCACTTTTCTTTACTTGTAACTTCTTTCAAAATGTATGTATATCCAAGAAGTTTCACAGGAATTTTGCCAATACATTTACATATTTGAAGGGATGATATCCATCGGATACGATCCCTTGTTGTTGTCAGTATGGCTCCCTATTACTTCAAACGCAACTCTACTGTGGCCCGCATGGCATCCTTGGGTGTTCTCTTAAAAACTTTACAGAGAAAAGGCTCCGGCTCATCCGTGTAGACGTAATGTTAGTGCAGGCTTTGCCCCTAACAAATCCCTTTTAGGATGGTCCAGCATGCTGGAATCAAGGGATAGGAGAGCCATTCGTTCGTGGATGTGAAGTCGGAGAGAGTGCCTCAACAGCGCTCCTGAACAAATTTTGCCTCCTATGCAGAAGCTGGGTCCTATTGGAAAGATCATCACCCCTCGTCAAAGTGGCTAGATACCTCAGTAACAGATGGTGCACCGAAATGTCCCTTGACTAGGTCTAGTATCAAGCTGTATCCCTTTGTAAACAGGCAGTGATGGTGAGCGAGCAGTAGTTGAGACCCCCGTCCAGACCACGATAAGGTTCGATTGCTGCCTATAGCAAATATCCCTTCCACTCTCACTGACTTCCCTAAGACCTCGTGCGTTCATCCCCGGAATTTGAAGATTGTAGCTCTGCTCCATGTGAGAAATTTTGTCGTCGATGAAAACGATGCACGCGTGATTGGCATTTTCGGTCCGCGACATCAGCTCTTTGAAGTTTTCGTCTCTGCCGTGCTCCTCCCGTTGGAATAAGCAGTGGTGTTTATGCAACTTATAACGGACTGTGAGCAGTTGTTATCCGATAACTCACTGCATGGCTGTGTTAAGAAAGGCCGGTGTTCTGGTCATCTTTCTCGAGCCAACCTGGGTATTGCAGTCGCTTCGCTTCATAATGCTTTTCCTGAGATCCAAGATGTCGGAACTTGTGAAGCAGACGCAACAGAGACTACTTTCATTGCTCTTTCATCCAGTCCACAGCAGGCCGTGGAGCGTGTAAAAATCCAAAGAAGCGCGACGTTCATCACCAAATGTCCGTCTTTACTTCATGGGAGATTAGGACCTCTCTCGAGTATTAGGTGCACCATGAGATGTACAACGAACGGAAAGCTGTGTAATTTGGCACGGTCATTGACAAGAGGATAGGGAATTGAAAGGTCAGTCAACCTCGGAAGAAAAGCTGTAAACAGCTACAGAAATTGAGCTCAAAATTTGGTGCAATATTTATGGGACACCCTGTAACTAACCTCATTTATTAGTGAGTATCTTCGCGACGAGTAACATCATAAAGGGTTTTTTTTATTAATGTTCAAGGTATAAATCGGATCCCTCAATAGCCGTTCTCGCCATGGATCATAGAAATGATTGCTTGTCGAATACGGTGGCTCTTGCTTGTGCCTGGCTTGGTACTGTGTGAGTGATAAGAATTTCCTGTTCTTTTCTATTTGGTTGCAAGAGTGTATTGTTCGTATTATAAATATTATTTATTCTGCTTTGTAAATGGTGATACATTTGAAGATATTGGTATTACCTCGATCCGATTGGTGCGATTTTGGTGTCCCTATATATTCTCTACACGTGGGTGAGCACTGGTTGGGATCATTTGTCAAAATTGAGCGGGAAGTCGGCTAAGCCAGAGTTTATCAATCGCATCATAAAGGTGACCTTTTTTATACTAATTTTTGGTTATTTTTATTTCTTATAGTCATTACACTGTACACTGCAGTTACTTCGATTCTGCACTTTCCTATCCTTCAGCTTCTTCAACTCTCCACTTTCTAACACCTTAACAACATCGCACTTGTTTGACTTTCCGGGCGCGTGGGCGTTAGATTTTCCAAACGCGGCTGTCGTGATTCGCGGGCAATCTCGCTGTCCCACAAGGTTTTTTTTTGTAGAATGGAAGTAATCGAACCTGTGAGAAAGTTAGTTGATTCATAGTAGAAATGTTCACAGAAGTATAATTGGGGACAAAAAATTGGCATGATGACGCTTGTCGGGATTTCAAGTTCTCATCTTTAAACAGACATTTCAATGTGCTAAAATACTTACGGTTAGATTTGCTGATGTATTGAAGACTAACCTCAGGGAAGTCGGAAAGGCCCACTAATAATGAGGAAAAGAAAGAGCAAGTAATGATAGTTCGGCAATTATCTTTTGCATAATGTCTAACAGCAAACAGAAGGAAAATCGCTTGATTGTGGCAAATTTTCAGCGTGGTTAGGCGATGTTTAGCCTAGAAACCTACTTATTTCGAGTGGCGATCCACGTGTACGGTTTGAAGTGGTTTTCAGTTAATCGATGGTTCCCTGAGGTTCATTGGTTTGAATCTTGTAGCGTCAGATAGAGATGAGAAGCCCATTTCTTCGGTCGAAGTTCATTAAGGAGAACGTGCCAAAGTCTCAGTCGTTCTTTGTTCGTACGCGTATATATATACCCATAGAACTCTTGCTTTAAGCATTCCTTTCCTCTGCTTTCCAACCACCCAACTGGCTCGTAGGTTACTGTTGTTCTTGCTACCAACATTGTTTCTTAGTATGTGGTGTACTGTTCTGCTTGTTTAAGTTAAGTCGACCTGAAAAAGGGCTTATGTTCTAAACGTTGCCAATGAACTCGGAACGAAAAGGAGAGCCTCTTATCTCTATCTGATGCTGCATTGTTTTCGGTAGTGTTGTGTCTGTAAAAGTAATTCAAGGGTAATATAGTCGCCTAATCTCTACCAAGAAAGGTCATTGTTTTGAGGGGGTGTACATTTGCAAACTCGCTGTAGTAGATAAAAGCAAATTATATAATCCATATATAGCATTAAGAAAGTCATGTTAATTCTTGCCTCAACGCTTCCATTTTTCTCTCATATGGAGTTCATATGTAAGCCACACCAATCGACCATATATTACATTAATTATATGTAGACGTACATACGCGGAATCTTCAATTTTACTCATTGAACAAACAGTAAGAACTGGTGCTGAGCATGGCGCATGGCATGTTCTCTAATCAGATAGTTCTCCCTGCTTTTTGCATATCACGATGCATTCAAGCATCCCATCCCATGAGTCAATATGCATGTTTGGGTGAGCTCAAATGTTTGCCCTAGTTTTGTTGCAACTTTCAGATGAAGCTGGATAGGTTTTATAAAGTATAAAATGACGGAGGGATGTTGAAGGGAACCAATTAATATTTGATCACACAGTAATCTAGTTTGGCAAAGAAGCATGTCACGGTCACGGTTGTGAATTCAAGCTCAGCAAACCCGAACCCTTTTACAACATATCAATGACTACCTTTTCGGTGGGTCTAAGTGAATGTTCCACACAATTTTCATGGCTTTGCTTGGATGGAAGGACATTGTAAGAATTTGAGAGCGACATGTACCATTTAATTTCCTGCTAGTGCTTAGTGACTGCGTTCTCAGATGTCTTTACATACCAGATTAGTACACCCGTCAGCAGCCGGGACCTTCCTTTCCTGCGCAAGCTTTCGATCCTTGCCGACTCTGGTCCCTTCACCTGTGAACCAACACCTCTGGAGAGTGACGCGCTTGCAACACAATGCGCATGTGTGAAACAGTAGAAGGGACACAAAATCATGAGTGACGTAATTGTCGACTCCTTCCTCATTCTCCTTTCCTCTCTCCACTGCCTCAGCTGCCACTGCAGCACCAAGTGGAATGACAACGGGAAGTGTCCCTAAGCAGGTGTTTATTAGCCTTAAGAGTGGTAGTCACAACTATCGCTGTACCAAAACATTGGATATCTCAAATTCCTGATAAGCTACCCATCTTTATCGTTTGTTTCAATCCCAGAGCTTCAATTCATCACTCACTCATTTTGCGGGACGGACACACATACACACAACACTCACACACCACACCATACAGATACACAAACCGACACACAAAGTTAGCGCTTTATAAAAGAGAAGCAATTTCATCGTGTTTAATCAGTACGAAAGTAGATATGCTTTATGCCGATGAGCTTTCAATTTTCGGTCGTATAGACACGATCCACGAATTTCTCATCTTGACAGTCTATGTATATCATTTTGGTATAAATTTTAGTCGAAGTGAGTTTCCTGTCGTTGTGCTGGGTCAGTTTTATGATACTCAGTTATGTTGAGCTACTGGTTCGGTCACTAGTATTTGGGTAGGTGTGTTTTCACGTAAAGATAAGTGCTAGACGAAGATATGCCATAGGAAGTTTGCGATGATATCAGTGAATCGCCGTGCAGATCATATGAAAGTCTACTGAAGGTATTAACATCTCATTGCTAAGTTGTTGTTTTTTTCTTACAGCCTCCACGCACCGTCATAATCCTAGCTAGCTAGGAGCATAAGTACAAAATGTGCAGCATTTTTTGAAAATGAGGAATCAACAGTGCATTTGGACATTTGGGAATGGAACTGAGAAACCGAATATATGGCAGTGCAATCAAACGATGCGATCAGTTCATATGACGATGTGGAGTTGGAGAAAACGACCACTCTTCAAGTAATGGATCACGACTCTACACTGACTAGTGACATTGAATGGAGGTGACAGCTCATAGAATTTCACTGCGAAGTGATGATGGAGGCATGTCAAGCGTCAGCTCCTGTGCTGACAAGAAATGCCAAGCGTCTGAAATCGAACGTCTTATCCGCTCTAGGAGAATCGGTGTCGAGGTACGGCTGCGAGTGCGGCCCATCAACGATAAGCACGAACAGCAGCTTCACGTGATGGAGATGAAGATGCCTACGGTGAGTCGCTGGGGATCTCTTGAGACTAAAAAGAGAACGAACGAAGAGTAAGAGAGTGCCATGGAATTTGTAGCTCCAATTCAGATAAAATGAAGGGAAAGCGCTTACGATGGTTTGGTCAATGTATGCGTAGACCAATTCAGGCATACCGTTGGCAACGTGCTTCGTATAGCAGGTTGAATGGATGCAGGCGAGAGGCAGACCAAAGACTCGTTGGGTATGGACAGAATCGAGAAGAATATGTGCCTCAGCTGCATTCAGGCCCAGGACACCGAAGACAGGAGGTTATGGGGCGCAGATCAAGCAGCTGACATGCGACATGCCGGAACATAAGTTAGAAGAAGAAGAAGAAGGAAGGATCAAACGTGCTTTAATCACTGTGGCAGTCAACCGTCCTGCACTACGAGAATCAGTTTTAAACAGCTTTAATCTATTTAGGCAAGACGTAGACAAAATGCCTTGAAGCGGTCGACATATGGTTTTTGTTATCAGGCTGATATAGTAGTATCTTTCTACTTGATATAAATCTTTCCTATGAGGTCTCAGCTCTTCACTTACGAGGCAGTCGTCAGGGCGTGGAGCGCTTTTTAAACGGTTTTTTTTGCCATGAAATAGGGGCAGGTGCAAGTGAACACAGATTATGGTCATTTCGCTAAATGGCCTTCTGAAATGCCAAAAACGCGATGAAATCATTTTGTTAAAACTGCAGTTTTTTACTTGTTGAAGTGGCTGTTTTTATTCATGACAGTGGACTTACTTGCGTAAAGGAGCGTACTTACGTAAGTGTGTTCTTCGAAAAATCGAGAGTTTGGTGTCAAAATGGAAAGTTGTTCCTGTGGATGTCAAGGCTGCATGAATACTAAAGAGAGTGTGGAAATTCAATGAGAGACATTTGGCCAACATCCCCTACAGCCGTCGGTGCGTGTAGTCGTTAGCGATGCGCGATTTCGCATTGCACGCTTCGTCAGGGTGGTGGTTCGAGGATCCGAGGCGTCGGGCTTTTTGCATCCTTTGTAGCCATTCACGATTTTCTCCAATATACACAAGTGGCAAATGATGTGTTACTAAAGACCAGAACTATTATAACCAGATTAGGCAAGTTCAACCGAAATCAGGAAAAAAAGTTTGCTACCATTGGATTTCGCGTATAGCGGCCGCTCAAAAAACATACACATCGTGGACAAGGGAACCAATTTACCTCTGGTGTCAACGTTTCGTAAGAAAATCATCTCTGGATCTTTGAACCCGAAATTTGAAAAACTTAGACATAAGTAAATCTTTCAAGTATTCCCACTCGACTCGGAGGCGAGCCTCGCCACGGAAAACTGCAGAAAAATGCACTGTGGTCTCCGACCAACACCAGTCTGCTTGGTCTGCTATATATATTCGGCAGAGCATGTCTCATCTCTGAATAACTATTAGAGGATGTCATTAGCCAAAAAGTTCACGTCGAGCTTTACGTAGCACAGAGTTAACTTATCCATCTAGCAAATTTTCGAAAGTCGGGCCAAAAGTCTTGAGTTCTTAGAAACATTCACTAGATGGTTAGCAGCGTGCCCTGATTACGATCATCCACATATTCGTTTCCAGCTCGCGACATCATTTTGGGCCCCCTATGACGTTTCTTCGACGGCACTTTGTTGAAGTTTTTGCGTCACTAACGTCTCTCTCACCAGTTTTTGTAAAAGTCCCACTGCTAAAAGGGTGTTTTGTAAGCCTAATGTAATTTATTTATTGACACAATTGCTGGTGTTATACGTTCTTCGGTGCCAATTTTGTGGCGGTCAAATCACAGTGCAAAAAATTTGTCACCGCGGGGAATCGAACAAGGACAACTTCCCACACTATTTTTGGCGCTTCGTGGGCAATTTAGCGGAATATTGCCACAGTTTATGTTATTCAGCACAGGGCCTCTTATATCCATAGAAAAAACCATTTTGAGAAAGCGTTCCACGCCCTGAACGACCTCCCCTCGTTAGTGCTATATATCTTCAAAAGCGAATTGTCTGCTCTACAGAAGGCATTGTATCTCTTCTATTTTCATTGTGCGCTTACTGAGTTACCGCTTTGAAGAATGGGAGATGTAGTGGACGAAATGTAAGCAAACCGACAACTAACCTGATATCTACGTTTCCTCCACAGAAATCAATTGGTAACTTACCCTTTTGTTCAACACAACCTTTTCTTGAGATTTCACTAGATAATCCGGGTGGGCCCCATATGGCGCGATCCCATTGGCATTGGAGCGGCCGTAATTACCACGTCCTGCTGTGGCCGGACAAGTCGTCCGCGCTGTACATTCCTTTCCGTTCCTGTCGCCTTGGCATCCAGCCAGCGGAAGCTATCCGCTTCTTTTTTAGATCTTTGCACCCAGCAAGAGTTTGTGACCCAAATAACCAACAGACCAATTACTGAAGTCTAGTAGTTGAGTGATACGGACGAGTTGTCCGGTCGCAGCAGATGGGGCACTTGCGGCCTGTGCGCTCCAATGCGAATGGAATTGCGCTATATGACCGCCTCCCGATAATCCTCCATCGAGTCGTTTCATTCTTTTTTTTGCAAAGGGTTATCTCCAGAACTTGATATTTGACCGCTATTTCGTCGAATCTAGACCCAGAAGTTTTCATCGCCTAGACATCGAAAACCTAGTTAGTTGTACCTGACCAGGAAAGGTCATAAGGCCAACCCGACCAAGTGAAATGAGGTGCACATTTTTGTACGCAACATGAGGCGCTAAACTGAAATCTGCTTCACTATCTGCTGAACTCTTCTCTGAAAGGAGTTACGAGGGTTTTTGTTGCCCCCTTGATTTTCAGTGTCTTGCCTGCAATCACGTGTTAGCCGCATTATAAAAGTATCGAAAGGAGAACTGAGGCACCAATAAGGTGAGCCTCACTGGCGCAGTTGGTAGCGCTCTTGCTTCAAGTCAGTGGTCGCGGGTTCGGCTCCTCACGGGGCTTGGTGTTTTGATTTTTTTCCAACATGGGTTAAAAGCCTTTTTGAGTTCCTTCTCTTATTAACGGTCGCCCGACGCTAAATCTACGGAGGTTTTGCGAGCAAACCCTTTTAAATTTAAGCACTACTTGTTTGTGAGTGCCCATGGTGCCCGTAGTGCAGGTGCTATGCTTTTCCGTGCCAAGTAGGTAGGATGTTCGTATTCAGGGGATCAAACTACCCCTTAGAACAAGTTTTTCGCCAGATCTAAGGTGATGAACCAAGAGAAAAAGCGGAGCAGTGATGGGATTATCACTCCTCAAACTCCATTTTTTTGGGTTGACCAACCATGGATGACGGGGAAGGGAGAGAGAAGGTGTTGTATAAGGAAATAACGCTTCGCAGATCTTTCGATGATGCAGACGGGCAGGCCAGACGCAATTTTTGTATCTTCTGAAAAGTGTTCAGAAGCTTTGTTCTACCCAAGTGCCAGCCTTTTGTAATGAATTGGTGGATTGGTGAGTAAATGACTGAACACATTTTCGGGGTTAGGTCAAAATTTCAGAATTCGCTAGAATGCGTAAAGGGAGAGTCTGGCTCCCTGATTACGAACATCATACTTGTTCAAAGCCAAAACCTGCGCCACAAGCGCCCGAAGCAGTGTGGAGCGATTCCGCTCAAGTTCGTTATTAATCGCCTTTGAATTCTTTGTACGTTAACTATACGCAAGCATGTTGGACGAGCGATGTTAGGAGTCTTCCTAGCTATCTTACTGCAACCGACAAAAGAACAAACTCGCCAGGGAGTTGATCCACTGACCTCTTTTTCGTGAGCCCCGACCACATCCCTTTTTTTGCTTCATAATTCCTTACAGTGAAGAGTTCAGCAGATGAGGAGCACATAATTGAGCTCAACGTCCCAGGGCGCGTATACGCATATAAATCTCATTGCAAATGGCCGGTTGACCAAATGACCATTCTTGGTGACTGCTGGGAATATCACCGACAAATTTTTCTGCATTTTTTCAGTAATTTTTTTTTCGTGTAAGAACAGTGTCATTCGCTTTGGCTGGGCACTTGATTACGTGAGCCTAAAATTTTTACCAAAATCATAGCGAAGGGATAATCAAAATATGACTTCGAGTAGAATAGAAAAAAGCGCTCTCGAATGATCTATGGAGTTACCTGAGTTAAACCTGAGTTTTGGGGAAAAGTTGTGGTATAAGAGAAACTGTGACGGTATAGCGGTCATTGCCCTTCGTAAAGTTGAAGTGCAAAAAAGAACGGTAAGGCTGAGGATATATGGAGTTACCTGAGTTAAACCTGAGTTTTGGGGAAAAGTTGTGGTATAAGAGAAACTGTGACGGTATAGCGGTCATTGCCCTTCGTAAAGTTGAAGTGCAAAAAAGAACGGTAAGGCTGAGGATATATGGAGT